TGCACAGGTCGAAAGCATTCAGGCTTTAATCCAGTACATAAAAAATGCCTCACTTAAACTCAAATATTACAACTCGAGGCAATTCCCGTTTCTTTGATTCCACTGGACTCATCCTCGTCTACTCCACATCGACCAGGTTTGAAGGCAGCTTAGCTATGGTTCAAGAGATCGTCTAGAACGTTGGTTGTTTGTCGCATTTGCAGCTGTGTTGAATGTGTTGTGATGGATAGCCCAAGACGTTATTAGATAAGTGTGACTACCCATTCTTCCAAGCAATGAATCGAATCGGGGCGAAAGGGCACACTTCATAATGTCTGATCAGTCACGAGAATTGGAAGGCATTTGAATTCAGCAACGTGATGATCCCTGTGACAAGGATAAAAGATCAATGTGTTTGGCCTTTTTGAGCAGGATACTTTCTTTTGTCGAGCACACTTTCTGTTAAGTGACGTATTCCATGTCCATTATTGCCGAGCATCAAGTCTGTGACAGCGTCGATTACTCTGGCAAAATTCGCGCTTTCTTTGAAGGCACAACCACGATTCGTCATTAAGAGTACAGCTTTTAAGGGCGCAGTGCTCGACAAGCACTTTTTTCCACCTCTTACAACTAAATTGATACTAGAGTGAGAAAAGATTCGTTGAATTAATCCTGCAGTGTGTGGTGGATACAGGACAAGTTCAAATGCGAACGTCAACTATATCGTTTTTAAGTTGTTATTGCAAGTTAAAATTACTCGACATGAAAATGCACCTTCGCCTTACGACGCAGTGCACATGACACCTCAAGATCTTTCAATAATAATGATATCTGTCGTCGGTAAATCAGCCATTTCGTCAAGTTTAAGGAACAACATGTAATGGCGTAAGCGCGACCGCAGCGCGTAACACACTTTTGGCAAACGCGTCACTGTTGGGTGGAAGTGCGCAACACTCGAAATAAACCAGCTATTGCTTCAACCAAGCCAAATGAACCACGCAGCTGAGCGGCCTGTCGTACCGGTCTCGCCGTTCCCAGTCACCCCAAGCAAACTCTTCAAGTCGCCAACAAAGTGCGAGTGGCCATTTGCCGTGATTGTTAAATTGTCAGTGTGAAGTGAGTTCTTGTGTTACAGGTTTATTTCCTAGCTAGAATTAGGCTTTGTTTAACTAGGAGAGTCGTGATTTCGACTGCATGAGCAAGTGAGTTAAAGACTGGTCTAACCTTTATTCACGTTTACATCAGATTAGTATTGCCCCATTGTTATCCCGCAGACACTGCTTGACGCGGATATCCACAGCTGCTTATATGCTTAATATGTGAGCAGTCACATAACTTCGATTGCTTAATTGCCATAATAAAGCTAGTAGGTTTGATGACCGTACGCTGAGACATATCAAGGCAGTACACTAGGTATCTACATGACATCTCACTGAAGGTAACGCAACTCTTAGGCCTTGTTCTGCTGTCCGTGATGGTTCACGTCCGTTAGCCCGGTCGTCGCAGCCTCAGGCGCGCTCGTCAGCAATGCAGCACCACCTGCTCAGTCACTCCCCTCGTGCGTGTACCACTACCACCCGTTTCGTCCATCTGATTATTCAGACATGTATGCGTTTACCAGTCCACCTCAACTGCATTGGACATGCACGACGTTGGCCAGCACACACGCACACACACAAACAACCTCACTGAACCAACTCGTGAACGGATGTGCCTTGCCGTCTGCGCTAAATTACATCTTCGTGGTAGAAGGTAGCGTAATCAGACTTTGTAGGTGTAACGCAATGGACCAGATGTGAAGTGGATTCAGGATGACTGATGAAATTCACTTCCAATGAACGATCCCGATTCGACCCACATGGACGTTGTGCAAACCGGGAATCGGATCAGAGGGAGCACCGCTGTGAAATTCACCCACGTGACGCATTGTAAGTGTTGTACCGTGTGTTTTGTTCGCTTTAAGCACTGCGACATGGTCTCAGCTAATTGACGCTTGCTTTCACGATATTAAATATTGGCGTAGTTTGAAAGAGACGGTGTCATGGAATAGAAGCACGAGTTCAAACCTCATGTCTGTGATTTGGTTGGTGGGCAATGAGGTACAGCGATGCAGAAGTGTGAGTTATTTTGCATTTGCAGGTTCATCCGCCTATCTGAATGGCTGCAGCAGTTGTCATCGCGATCCGCCATGCAGAGTCTAATTATTTAACAATTTCTGATTGGCACATAACGGACCTTGACAATATTGATGCAGTGGGATAATAATCGGATTTCCTCGAGTTACACGACTTCGTCACTTAGTTCAACCATCGACAATGCTAATGAATTAACCAATGATTATGCTGAGTTCTGTGATGGTGGGTTGAATGGGGCACACTGTTTTGCATTCGAAACGAAACAATCTGAGCAATTAGGTCAGATGAACAGGCGGACATTTCAATAAGAATTTGCGCATTATGCAGTAATCTAGGCCAGATTCTAAATACTTCTCTTTACATTTACCATATACACTTTAAAAGGCAATCAATACAAACCTAAGCTGCTTATGATTTCAACTCACTGCTAAAATCCGGTTTACCAATCGGAATGAGCTAAAGCTTTTATGTCCAATAAAAAGAAAGTCTTCTACGATTGGTTAATTGAACGAAGCACGTCATATTAAGCAGGCCGATGCGCTGACGGTCAACTTACATCAGGCTATATTCACCACAAAGGGCATGGTTTCGACAAGAAGGATCAAACCGTATTTAACCATTTGCACTGCATTTGGCGCATTTATACTTTTCGTGTTATGGCACAAGTCAGCACGGAATGCCGTCACCTATCCCAATTCGTGTGTCTCATGTGGTCAGCACGCGGTGGATTATCGCATTCCCGATTTCGATGGGACCAATTCTTCGTGTCGGTGTGCTCGTGGTCCACGGGTGTACCGGTGGCCACCAAAGCGCGTTCCGGAGGATCTCATCTGTGCGGATTCCTCGTACGACCTGACGTTGTGTGTGCGAGTGAAGTCCTCGTCTGAGCCCATGGAGACGAGGTTGCACCAGCGATTGAAGTTGCTAGATAAGGACTGCGAACACGGTGGCGAGGAATCAGCTCTACTTCGGTGGTTCGAGTTGGAGGGTCACAGGTTGGATGGTGGTGAGGGTGGATACGACATGTATCCGTTGGCCATCAATCTCACCGATACCCTGGCTGCCATCACCCACGGAAAACAGGCACCGTATGTAAGTTGCAGAATGTGTGTGTGTGTGATAAGTTGAATGCGTTGCGTAAATGTGTGCACTCGGATTAATTACAAAGGTGGTTGTTTTCTTCGATAGATTTTATGTTGCAAAACCACAAAAAAACATCAGAAAGGTCTATGTTGTGTTCTTGGCAAATAGTTGAGTTATTAGTGTAACTGCGCCTTGTATGAGGACTCGAGTCACTTTATCACAAATCAACCCTACAAACCGTTTTCAGCCACCACGTGGACAATGACTGGCTGAACTCTTTATTCAAATTGCATTGGGCAATCAAAATCTTTCTTAGTTGCATCACATCAGATGTTTTACGCACTAAACTCGTGGCCACATTGCCTCACTTGCTTGTGCTCTGTAATAAGACAAATTAAACTGTGTATCTGTGCTTTCTGATTAATCAGCTTAATGGTATAACCAAAAACAAGGTCAGCGTGCCTAGTCAAAATTCAAATCCTGGTTCAGCGCATTGCACGTGATCCTTTAACGCTGTAGTGCAAACGCTCAACATGAATGCAGCCAAACAATTCTCTTTATAATCGTTCAAATCGCATTTTTCAATTCGAACGCTTTTATAAATCGCGCGAGCTGCTTGTGGTATCTACGTAAAATGCATTCGGTTCAGTTGGACTAGTCAGGCATGATTGAGTGTGTCATGAATGAGTTGTGTGCAAGGCACACATGCGATGTTCCAGCACCCAAATTGGGCTTAAAGTTGACTTGATATCTTCCTCCTTCGGTATACAACAGGCCCTAATCACCAATCCTAACATCAAACTCATTCGCACCAGTCTCACTGCTTGTGCACCTCACGACCGATCCTCGAAGGACGTCTACGACCTTGTGGTTATCTACAAATCTGCGCCATGTAACTTCGAGGAGAGAAGTCGCATTCGTGAGGCAACTCGCAATCTGCCAGGTCGCATTCGTGTTGTGTTCTCACTGGGTCAACCGCGCGCCGATTTGGGAGGCAATTTGTTCCACATGAACGGCGGCTTCGACATTCGATTGCCAGGAAAGGCGGGTGCCAAGGCTGTGGAGTGGGCACGGCGGGCAACCGAGGCTCGGGAGAGAGCGTTGGCGGAGGCAGACAAGTTCGGTGACATGATCATTGGCGACTACGTGGATACCTATGTGAACTTAACCTACAAGCTCATAGCAAGCCATCGATGGGCCTCAGCATTTTGCAGAGGTAGGTCTTTCTGGCGCTTTGCATGTTTTTAACCGTTACAACGACATCACATGTGACAGCGGCTTAGTGAAGTGAGTCATTGGAAAGGTTAAATCAATGCTGAGGTGCAGTTGTGCGTGTGGAGTTGAAGTGGCGAAGATGAAATTGAATTGTGCAATGTTCGTTTTAGGCAAATCCGACGTTTTTGTATTCATCGACGATGACTATGCGTTCCACGCAGGGAATGTGCTCAATTACCTGAATGGTCTGACGAAGTTGGATCGTCGCCAACTGCTCAGTGGACTGTTACTGATTTGGGAGCTTGTGAATCGCCCGGTTAAGGACACCAGTCGAAATAAATGGGCTGTTTCTCGCTATGAGATCCCGTGGTTGCATTTCGCACCATTTGCAAGCGGAGGGGTGACGTTTGTCGGTGCAGATGTACTCAGGGGGCTGGTCGTAGCCGAAGCCTACACACGCTTTCTGTATGGGAATGATGCGTTCATGGGCTTCGCCGCAGCTAAATTACCATTTCGGCGCTTCCAAAGCATGAAGGGCTTCTACCTCGAATCCACCAATAACCTGACAGCTCTCATTGCACATTCACCCCTCAGGTTCTGATTGGATTGGTTTGTGGACAGTGTGAAATTTTTTTTTTAATATCTTGCAGTGGTAGATAATCTTTCTTACAAACACCGCAAGCAGCTGCGTTGCATAAATTTGGGAATTTCGATTTGAGATGGACTAAAAAGTGGAAATATCTGTGTACGTAGCGCAGATGTGTGTTTGCGAGGCGAAATCTGAGTGCGTTCAATCAAATACGGGTAAATGGTTTTTAGGGGTGTGTCAGAATGTTAGATTAAAGTGTGTACATGGAGTGACAATTTGCCTGTACTCGTTGAAATCAAAATGTCGCACCACTTCATATGCAGGCGATGCTGAATCGATCGTCGTGTGATACCAGTTATCAAGAGGACTTTGCAGCGAGGCTCAGTGCATGAGGCGACGCAGGCTACTCTTGCTGCGGACTTGCGTTCAATGTCATTCAATCGATCCAAATTCGTGTGACAGCCCATCAAGAACACTAGACAAGCACAGCAGTGGCGGGTGATTTTAGAGAGCTGTTTGGTCCAGCCTTATATAAAGCGACAGACACGTTAAAGTATGCAACCCTCGGAAAGAAATTGCTGTTGATTCAATCAAGGCAAACGAAGCAAGCAAACGGGCAAGCAGTGCAGTCCGAATTAGGCAAGTACAAATGTGGGTGTGTGCGTGTATGTTTGTCTGCACCAAGCCATTGTCGTAGTTGAGGCTGAGTAGAAAAAAAATCCATCCATTCTGAATAGGTGGACGGCTAGTTTGGCGTGCAATTCCATCAAGACTACATTCTTTATGCTCCGTCTAGGTTAAAGAAAGCAGAGACAGAGGAACACGTGGATTTTATCTGCGATTTCTGCGAGCTTCTACAGTGGTGCATGTGAGCTCTGGAACGAAGCGATCGCACATGAGGTTGCTGGGAACGATCAGCCCACAAGTGGTGTTGGTCTGCGTCACCGACCTTATTGTCCCCATGCTTTAGGCACACGTGACAAAGGAGTTGAGAATAGAGACCTAGCACCCACATTGATGCCGGTGACGAGACTTGTGTCAAAGACATGCACCACTCGAGCTGGTTGTTACTGTGAGAACAAAAGATTACAATATTACTAGAGCTATTAAAAAGCTTTGTTTAAAGCTTGTCGATCAGGTCGGTGGCTACGTCTGATGATTGCAGTTGAGCAACACGTAAGTACATTAAGAATTGAAGAATAACTTTTAAAATGCTTAAAAGAGCCTCAGTTTGCATTACCCAAAATGAAGTGTTGGAATAGTGAGAGGAGAGTTGACTATGATACTGTACTTTAAAAAAGAATTTGAGTCAGAAGAATTACGCATCGTTAGTAGAAAGGAAACTTGTAACAGTGCAATATAGATGCTTGGCGTGAGTGAAAACAACGCGCAGGGTGTGGTAACACTTGCCAACGCTGGACAGTTTGCATGTATGAAGAAAGTCTGTGGTGAGCTGATGTGCTGTGGAGCTATTGCCATGCGACAAGCAATCCTCAGGTTTAGCCAAGGAGTCTGCAGATTTGGTCTTCTCACTGTTGCATTTTGACAAATGTTATCCAATCTGCTAGATCACCATCATCCTCGTACATTGTGCATCAACACATCAACATGCGATTTCAGTGCGCCATGTCTTATGCCTAGCGTTTTAAGATCTAAATGCGTGTTCATAAAGAGGAAGAGAATGCTGCGTAGAACTGCATTGCGTCACGATCCTAACCAGAGAGCCTTGATATTAATGTGCAATCAACAGTTCATAAATGCATACAATGCATCGGTACAAGCAATTTTCGATTTCACAAAGACACAAGTTGACCCAATATGCAGGGAATGCTTCGCGAAAACGCTCCGCGGAATGTAGCTGAAATAGACGAATGTGGTGGTATTTTTCTTAGATGCAGATACTTGCAGTTCACTAATTTCAGGAAATCCCAACAATCATATTAAGCAAGCGAGAGGTGAATTTGATGTCGTGTCACACATCCGCCTCAACATAATTCCGCTCTCAGATAAAGAGAACACGCAGCACTTCACCTTAATGGCTACGTGTGCGTTGAGGGCGAGGTGCATCAATGCCACACCAGTGACTCTCAAGCAATTTGCATCCATTAACACCTGCATTATCAAGGCAGCCTAACCACTTGCAAGGTGGCCCTAGTGTTGCTGGTGTTTCCAAAGGCACCTCTTCGTAGTTTTCGCTCACATCGCCATCTGAATAATGTCACATGCTTGCCGCTTCATCAATTTTCCAGCAAGGCTAAGTTGACCTCTTTGAAGAATGCACTGATCATGGTGTGACGCACGCTCTTACAAACACGGTGTTCACACACCACCACTCGATGAAGTCCGTGTTTGGTGTGCTTGATAATAGATAACGAGCAGCGCGTGACAACAGTGAGTGAAGGAATTATTGCCAAGGCTTGAATACGTGAGGCATGCATTTGTTGGACAGATGAGCAGCAGATGTTTTAGCCGTGGGAGAATGAGTTCGCAGATTTGAATTCGACTCGAAATTATTTGGCGAAGTATTCTATAATCCAAATCATCGTAGTCATTGCCACCATCGTGAACACATTTTGCAATATGCCTTCATGGGAATTATGCGTATCGCTGATGAACATCCGCTTTCTGAACGTCAGACTATCGCGAGCTACAACACGTGTTTCACCTGCTCAGCAAATCCTAACAAAGTCAGCGACCATCTGTAACCCTGGAACCTGTGAAGTGGCTGATGTCATATTCAAGGAGCACCTGGCAGTTTGACTTGTTAGGGGCCTGTGTAGAATGGTGTTGTTACGGTTGACGAGCAGACCAAATTGGTTGAGAAAGTGAGCGCCAATGATTGGGTCAGTCACCACCACCACGACAGTTAAGACCCATTGGAACTGGCGTCGTATTCTATGCAATTGGGGATGGAGGAAGCGATGGCGGCTCAAGAAACGCAGAAGGTGTTTGGCCACCATTTCTCGGCATGTGCAATGTGGACACCGGATATGTCAGCCCATGTGATGATTCAGAGGCGCATTCCTGTGGTCGCTACTGTCGGTGGCGTTGTCTTCTGACTATTTTGCATGACGATGTGGAAGCATTAGTACACGTAATATTGCACTAAATGATCACATGCCTGAATTTGTGAAGATAACATCCTACCTTCTGAGAATAAGAACGTGACAAGGACATTCTTTTTGATGTGGACAATCATTGATGTTAGACTAATGGATGATGTTTCAATCCACATCGCGAATCAATTGGCGATGTGGAGGGGCGTAGAAGATTGCTGATGATGCAGGCGGCATTCAAATGACTTGGGCAAAGTTGTTTTAATTAGCTGTTAAAGATGATGTTGGTTTGCTGATTGGATTTTCGAGAATGCAGGCCGACTTGTTTAGTTCTTTCCTAAGGTCGCTATATCGGATTCTTTGACAGTCGAATGCAAATTTTTCCATTGCCTAAGGTCCACGTTAGGTTCACGGAGTAGTTGCGCTACGAAGCATAACGAAGCACTCAAGAAATAGATGAGACAGAAGAGGAAGAGTTGCGGACAAACGCTGATTGGGTAGCTAAGCCAAGTTGCATCCATCACGTGTGCGCATTTCTAGTCGTGGATGTCAAATATGGGTTTTCTGAGATAGTGGGTTGTTGTATGGCGGATTGGTGTGATTTGGGCTGAAGTGGTGTTATTTGTGATGGAATGGTGTGGCATAGGTTCCAGAGGTGTAGTGTGTGGTGATATGTGTGTGGGATGTGGTAGGCAGTTAACTGCACAGGTCGCATGAATGGAGTTTCTGCACAGCTTTTGCTGCTCTCTGATAATTGAGGCAATGTGTCGTGCAATGAAGCGATTAAACTAATATGTGTGAATTGAAACAATGTGCGCTGTAGATAGCACGAGACGTGCAACAAGTTCCGTTGTTATCAAAGGCACTGCATCTTGATCTTTCATGTCAAGGTCAACCACGACTATTGTTGGTTTCGCATTCTAACACGTCACTCGGCCATTATCAGAAACACCCAATGCATTTTGATCGATGTCTTGTCCTTGTGTGAAATACCTGTGCCCTGGTATGAAGAAGACAGGGGCAGGAGAAAAGCATGTCTCGACGAGTTTCAAGTCAGAAACACACATCAGGTGTCGTCCATCTGCGTCCAAAAACTGGTTGCACCATCCAACAAATTGTGCATCTCGTTCCTCCTTGTTTCTTCTTCTTGACTGCTGATCTTCTTTCAAGGTCACTCGAATGCAACACGAGGGAGGATTAGCTGAGCTGGGAGCAATCCAACATGTCAGCACCCTGTGTGAGGCTTACTGTAGAATACCCGAGCCCTAATAGGAGAAAGACTGGTACAACAGAACAGGCTTTATTGACCAATCACAAGCCATAGCCACGCGTCAGGCGCCTTCCATCCGAGTCCGCCACGCTGGCCACGCCGCTCATTATATACTGCACCTCAGTCGTGTCCTT